TTTGTTGCTAATAACACCATGTAATCGTCTTTGTTATTCGCTCCCAACTTCAGACGATTACTTGACCATCCTACTAATGAGAAGTGTTCAATGTTTACTTTTTGTTCTTTGAAATGCTTTTCAATAACATTTCCGGCTTCAAATGCCGATGGAGGCCGCTGTGAAGTAATAGATTGTTCGAATTCGATGAAGAAGCACGGTAGATTAGAGGACACGGCTCGTTTTAGCTGATCGAATGGAAGTGATTTTCGTTGTTGTTGATTAATTACTGCCGTATCTTCCATTTGCATGCGGGTACCTTTGCTTGATTTATGTTGTTTCGGTGCAGAACTGATGGAACCCCCACTGTCGTTAAGAGGTCGACCATGTTTCGGAGTTGATGAATTATGCTGAATATTTGTCTTAACATTTAAAATAGAAGGAATCGGCTGTTGATCTTGTATACTTTGCCCATAGCACATCTGCTGAACAGATTGTTGAGCACTACGAACTCGTGTAAATTCGATAAATTGATAGAAATCCCGCAGCATGTGCGGATTTTGTTCTAATGAACAAAGAAGACCTTCTTGTTGTTCCATATCGTTGTCATCTACATACACTGCTGGTTGAGAATAAAGTTGTTGATGTCGACCATCCATCTGGTGTTGATCATTCATATCTATTTCATTTGTTGTTACTTGAGTTGTACGAATGTAATTGTTCGATCTATTCATTTCGGCTAATTGAAAATTGATTGAGGACATAAAGTCACTCCTCCGCGAAATACGGGAGGTATTCGCCGGATACGAAGAAAGAAGAGTATGTACGCGGACGAGCAAAAATGCGACCGCTCTCTACGAAGGCAGATGAAGAAGTGACAGTTCATATGATATTGAAATGCCATAAGTTGTTAATTTTTTTTTATGATTTCATATGTTTGCGTCTCTTGATTCGATATCTGAAGAGACTTGATTAATATGCAAACAATAATTTAGCAAAATTCGCTTTCATTCATTCTTAATATATCCTTCAGGCATCAATTTATTTTCTAGACAATAGAAATATTATCAAAGATAGGATTACAATATACTTTAGTATAAAATAATTTAAAATGAAGTACTACTAAATATTTTTTCTTTTCCACTTGTAGATTTGTCTCGTATCTGTTTTTCGTAGATTACTCTACCAATCTGAAGTTTTTAATTCTAGAATAAATATATTTTTATATGAACATTAGATATTAGAAAATATTTTCAATAAATTATTTTAGATGAAATGATTTCATAAATATATACATATATCATTGAAACAGATGAAATTTATCTTTTATTAATTTCTAATACGATATTAGGTTTCTTATTTCTTTTCAAGATAGTATTAAAATTGTCACCACTACCTCTATACAATTATATATGTAGTAATTATAATTGCTTTAAAAAAATACTAAACTTTCGTTTCATTTTCTAATTATAGGCTTGTGTTGCATCCGTCTGGTGTAGACTGTTCTGAAAACCTATGGTTCACGAGTTCTAGAATATATACGATTTTATATGAACACTAGGTATTAGAAAAAAATATTTTCAATAAAATAATATATATTTTTTATGTTAAATGAAATTCGAAAAAAATGAGATTATTTAAGAAATATTTTCAAGTAATTTTATTCCACAAACTGAAACTTCTCGAAGTGTCTTAATCAGACGAATGAAACATCTTGTTTATACATGCCATGTGTCTTGATTTTTTAGGGTGAAACTGTCACCAAGAGCGCCATGTCCAAAATATTATTTTTACTATTCCTCTATATTGGTGTTTCATAAAAACTACGTTATCTATTGTAGACTTCATCGTCCAATAGAATTATTACTTTGTTCCGGCTAGATGATCCGGTTCGGCTGTCTTCACACTAGTAATCTTACACCCTCTAGAATTAGAGGTGCGATGGAAAATTTTGATTGGTTCGAAGCTGATGATGATAAATTTTTTATCACTTGTGTATCATTTGTTGTTATAACTTGTTGTCGTGTTGTAATTTGATTGTCACGACTTTCAGAACGTTTTCCTGAACTGTCTTCTCTTTGTTTTGGAGGCATTTCCTAACCATACCAGAAACAACTGTATAAAACTTGTTGCTGTGATGTATAAAGTTAAGGGTTAAAAATATAAGAGAAAAAAGTATGTGAAAAAGATAAGAAGGAATGTGTGTATACTCGGAGCAATGCGAAAAGTCGAATGTGATAATAAGCATATACACACCAGGTGAGAAGAGTGAATACTCCCGAAGGTATACTGCTTGCACTTTTAAAAACAATTATGCTCAAGAACTATTTCTTTTCTTTTAGATATAGTCGTTCACATCAATCAACAAAAAGTTAATCAAGAACTATGGACCAGTTACTCTCATCGTCAATATCTCATGAGATTCAAGTTTCTAATGAGAAATACATTTCACTTTCTGATGGTCGTCAATTAGCGTATACCGAACAAGGTGATATTGATAGTAATAAAATTTTTATCTTCTTTCACGGAACATTTGGTATTGGTGATTCCTTCAATGAGACGAAGTTTTACAAAGAAATTGGATATCATTTTATTATGCCTACACTTCCTGGCTGGGGCAATAGTTCTCCATGGCCGCAAAATCGACCAATTTCAAATTATCCTAATGATATTCATCAATTGTTATCATTGTTGAAGAAAAATAATAATGAAAATCTTAGAATTACTGTTGCCGGTGGTAGTTATGGATCTGTTTTTGCTCAAATATGTTTTGGCACATCAACCGATATAATGCCTGAAATTACCAATGTTCAGTCGTTAATTATCTTATCTGGCTTTTCCCCATTCAAATATCATAAAGAATATACTACGGGAATGAGTTGGTTAAATTATTTTACAGTCGGTATGCCAGCTATTTATTTTCCTTCTATTACAAAATTAATGGGATCATATATTCAAAAGAAAACCCGTAATATTGAGGAAGCCAAGGGATTTTTGCGAACACAACTGTTTGATCAAATGGACGACGAGGAAAAGGCTAGCCTACGTAAATGGGAAGAAGAGAAAAATAAGCCGTCAGGCTGGCTTATTCAAATGATGTCAAGAAATATGTGTTTAAGTATTTCTAAAACAATGGCTGGTTTCAATGATATTCCGCGTGTTTTACATTCCGACTGGGGTTTTGATCCAAAGAAGCTTCCATCATCACCAAAACGAAAAGTATTGATTATAACTACACATGAAGATAAAATGGCTCATATGGAAATGTCAATGTATTTAGTTGAAAGCTATCCTAATGCAGAAATTCAAATACTTAATGGAGGTCATTTAGGTGCACTTTTTGAATTTGATACAATTGTGAAAAATTGGTTGACAAATCTTGACAAAGAATATAATGAAAGAACACAAATGGATTGAAAAGTTTTATGTTCTTAATTGAAATATAACCGTTGATTGTCGGTTTGTGAAACCTTTTAATGTAAACTATTTTTTTCGATTGTTTTTCTCAAGTCACATTTCGAAAATTATTTTTTTTTTTACATTTCTTGTCTATTTTGTCATGTTTGTTTAGTTAATTCTACAATGTCTTTTAATGCCTTGTTTCAGTAAGTTTTGTTTTTTTCCAAAGTTCTTTTCTAAAATATTGCTACTTACATTTATTACTTTGATTATATACAAACTTTTTTTTATGCGATAATAATTTAAGAATTTTTACTATAAATGATACCAAGAGGACTAATGTTATCTTTTTACCATCAGAAACTCAATAGTACGTGACAAAGAATGGTGGCCAATTTCTGATGAAATCGAGGCCCTCTCAAACCTTAATATTTTTCCATCATAATATGCAAATTTCATGTGAGAAAAAGAATTAGACCATAAAACCACTTTTCAACCAAATTTTCATATAATTCAACTGAAAAAATTCAATAAATTTTTCTCTACTTCAGCAAGTGATTCTTGCCACGAGCTCTAACAAATTATCTCCTAGTAAGATTCTCTGATATTTGCTGGGAAGTTTTTACACTCGAGTCCTGGGAAACAGTTTCGGATACTGAAAAACCCCGTTTGTTCCGTCCTGCATGATAATTGGGCCTGTTCCGAAAAATTTTCCGGACGGGACAAATGGGATTCAGGACAACGTAGAAAAAAAAATCACTGTTCCAAATTGTTTTAATCCTTTTATCAAAACGTCTTGTACACTTTAAATTTTTTGTTTCTAACAAATATCTTAATATTTTATGTCACTCTTGTTTCTTTTTCTTCGTTCTTTTTCTCTTTTTTTTTCTTAATTCACTTTTTGGGTGTGGATATGTTGGAAGGGGGGCTAATTCTTCTTTAACAATACCTACACGTACACCCACACCATATTTTATTTATTATTTGATATTCTTAGATAATCAAAGCTCTTTATGTGTAATGATAGAAAAGAAAAAAAGATGACACATTCGCGTACATTTATATGTGCATAGAAACTTAATCAATGATCCGATAGTAGCACCTCCTCCACGTATGAAGATTTTCTTTTTAAAAAATTCCTATTTAAATATAACGTATTATGAAAAATGAAACCAAAATTTTTCTTTTTCTAGCAACAAATTTATCGAAAATAATCCTATTTAAAAAAAACGATACTTTTTCTGATATTTTTTAATGTAAATTCTATATAAGAAAACCATGATTGGTTACACAAACCGTTCTATATATTTAGGTAAAAATATATATTCTAAAGTGAAACTTTTCAATTGATAGATTTAAACAGTTTTACACAGTAAATGTAAATCAAAATCTTTTGAAAACATTTTTCACAAATATTATGAAATGCTTAAACATAAACAAAAAAAGATTTTTTGATTAGAGATCTTCGTCGATATAATTAGGTTAAAGCCAAATACGTAGCTAGTCGTATCTACGAAATTTAATTTTAATATTATTACAATCAAATAATTGATCATGTCCAACTGCTAATAGTCTTTCTTTGAACATTTTCCTTTTTTCATGTTTTACTTGATAAAGACAATCTTTGTTCACTATTAAATAAACTAACTGATCAAGTCGATGAATAATTTTCCAAATAAATTGAACAAGATTTTCATTTAACTTAATAGTTGTATAACTGATTTCAAGAGAACGTAGATTAGATACTAATTGAGCTAATCGATCAATATTAAAATATTCTGTAGGTTCAGGACATAATGGTTCTAATATGAGATTGACATGGCGAAGATTTAAGTAGCTATTTGAACAATCTCGAAAATCCTTCCATGTCACTACAAGATGTGAAAGATTTGGTGATGCATCGAGTATTTGTTTGATATAGTTACACGTTCTAACTTTGTTATTGATTCTGATAGCAAATTAAAAGTCAAAGATCGTAGATGACGAAATAACAAACCACAAATAGAAGAATAACGTGGTGTCACCGATGTATTTAACTAAAAAAGATACACATCTGTTCAATAGGAAGAATATATTTATACGTATTCAATATTTCTTCATCTAAAACTTCTAATAAAATCAAATTTTCATTGAGATATATAGCAAGGGCAAGTGAATAGTATCATTGGTACGCTCAATTTGTCAAAGAGGACTAAACAATATTCTTTACCTCAAATTATTTTTCCTCAATTAAGTGTTGAATCTGATACTGTCATAATTCCTCAGCGTTTAGAAAATAAGAAAATACGTAAAAACCTTCATCGGTGTTGGTTTATCATTCTTATGAACTTCTTCGTGCTATACGAGCTCACTTTCATATACATCAATCAATAATACTCTGCAAGTGGTCAACCCTACTTTGGTCGAAAGGTAAAAATATCGAAAGATAAAAATGTCGAAAACGAATTTGCGGGATCTTAATGTAGATGTAAGAGTTAGGATGTGGGTGAAAGAACGCCTTCTCCCATACACTATCATTTTCAACATTTGTACCTTTCGGCATTTCTATTATTTTTGTTTTCGATATTTTTATTTTCGATCAAAGTAGGGTGAATCCTGCAAGTACGCATAAGTTACAGACTCCATGTATCTTATATTAAATAATTATTGAGCTGGTAACTAAATTAACATTTAGTGATATTAAAAGACGAGACGCATTTGTTCTAAATCGATAACTTGTTATTCTATCTCAAGTTTTCTTTTGAAGAATACATGTGAATTTTCACTTTGAATTTTGCTTTTAGAAAGCTTTGTATAATTCTATGGACTTAACAAGCAAATATTTGTTATTGATTCAATGCTTGCCAAATAATTTTGTTCAATATCAGAAACATTCATAATCGTAGATGTTCTATGAATGATTAACTCTTAACTTGAAATTGAAATCTTTGACGAATAGTAATATATTCAAAGGGTTTTAATTTGATTCATTTTATCTCTTAACATTACTTATTTTTTCCCATTTAATAATTTGAGGTGCTTACTGATTCATTGAAGTATGTCAAGCAGAGTTCATTGACACGACCGCTTGCAAATATTTGTAGAGTTTTCACCAAATGATCAGGCTCATACTTGACATCGCCAGTCCATTGAATTAATCGTCGTCGAGTTATTATGATGGGAAAAGATGCATGTGCTGCGAAACAATGATTGTGGAAAGTTCGCTTGTAGCGAAAGTGTAAGCTAATCGGACGCTTATAGAAAAAAAAACAGGGCCTTTGTCGAGAAAACTGCTCTATCTTGTTCAAAATTCGAATCGCATCTATGTAGTAAGCAAGATTCTCAAAAGCCCATTGACCATTGCAAACAAAGGAACTGATTCACTATGAATCTTCGATTTCTTTAGGAAAACAAAACGAGAAATGGAGATGTTTCAGAGTAAGTAAATATGTTGAACCACAAACTTCTTGAAATTTACCAACATGATCTAATGCTACAAGCAAAACAGATAGAATTAATAATAAAATGAATATTTTCATATGATTTCTATATTCAAAAAAGCAAATAAATTCGACTTTATTTTGATATGACGAATCAGAAAAGCAATAGCAATGTACGCAACTACTGAAATTATCAATGAAATGTTTTTACAAATATCTCAGAACAACTTTGCGTGTCAAAAGTTGATTAGATCATTTGGTCTTGGACAGCAGAAGAAACTGAATAGTTTCCGTTAATATAATACAAAAATAATTGATAAACACATATTAAATGTTAACTTACTATGATCATACAAATCAACCAATATCATGTTTTCAAGTAAAGGCATAGTTAACGAGCCAAGTAATATGACAACATCAGTGAGATTTAAATAACATATCAGTAAATATCGTAGTCGAGTACCATTGAATCTTTCATGCAGATCATGTTTACAAAGTTGGATACACGATGTTGATTTGCCTTCATTTATTGGTAAAACAATATGTAGTTCTTCATTAGTAACACTCAAATATTCAATTGCAGGCCAAACATTACGTTGTAAAAGAAGTATAAGTTCGTTTGAACGTTGAATACTTGATGTTAATTGAACTGTATTTGGCCAACATGGTGAATAATAGTAGTAAAGCAACAGAAGAAATTATTTCATTTAAATTGTATGTTCGAATTTAGAAAATATAGACTTATCTCTTTATCTGACAAACAAAATTAATCATCAAAGATGCAAAGATGATTGACTTTACTACAACTCAATGATATCCTACCGCTTTATAATTGAATTTATAAGAAATAGCTCTTAGTTTAAAATAATATCATTAGAAAAATTCCTTTCAGTTAATATTTTAATCTGAAATGACTTTAAATATAATAGAAAATATTAATGACAAAAAAGTTTTCAAAGATTTTTTTCTTGTGTGGCTAACTAATGTCTTCTATATTTAATTAATTACTAAAATAGGATATAATGCCTTACACAAGACAGCTGATTTTCATCAAACTACAAATAAATACAAATGCATGACTAGGTCAAATAACTTTTGAACTTAGAACGGATTCAATTCTATAAAACCAAGACTATAGAAAGTAATAGGAATCCAACTACTGAAATTGAAAGATACTAACTTAATTTGAAAGCAATTCATTTCACGATTCGATTTCGTTGTCAATTATGAACAAAATTTCGGATTAACATTCCTAAAATTTAAATAAAGTCACTATTCAAGGTAAGACATAGTACGTTGATAAACAGCATTAATGAAAATGATCACAACTGATGTATAAATTCATTACTTATTGCAAACAAGATAGATATTAATTTCGTCTAGTGCCAGTTACTAAAGATATTATTAATGCGGTGTGAAGCATGAATCTATCGAAAATTCAAAAGATTCGCGCTTCGCACTGCATTTTGTATTCGAATCGAAACTCGAATATCATCTAGTTTACATAGATTTCAATTAAAGACGTTCTTCAATCTCAAACATGTTCATAAATGAACATAATTCAAGTCCCAAGATTATTTGAAATTTATAAAAATAGCACTAGCATTCTAGATTACTGAAACTATTTCAGAATATTTTAAAAAATCACCTTATAGTAGTATTACTAGAAGAGATAGTTAGTTTATTAGATTTCTTATTCAAGAATATGTTTAATAAAATACCTTGTTCAACTTCAAATATCATAGTATGAACTGAAATATTATGACAAATAAAATCAGAGAGTACTGCTGAGCATGCGTCCGTAGGTCGTTCAAAAACGAGATGCAAATATCGTTATGTATTGAGTGTATAAACCAAAGGAATTAATATTGGACAAATAAAACCATATTCATATTACTCTGCGTTCAATATAATAATCTTCTTTATTGATGGTAAGAATATGTTCAATTATTCAGGATCATTTTAAGTTTTCGCCCAATGATCACGTAACATCATGCATGCATATGAATCACGAAGTATAAACGTATCTATCAATGCAGTAAAATGATTTATATAATCATTGTTACTGTTTAGAAATTCTCGTAACAGGTTATAATGCATTGAACTAACATCTAATCAGTGATGAATAGAAGTAAGATGTTTTATACGACTAATTTTCAGATGAAAAAAAAGATTGATAAAGATCAAAAGAAGATAAATAAGAAAATATCATGATCAAAACTTGATTTGGTAATGATTCGAACGTGTTTTTTGTCATTTTTGACGTATCATATAGAAACGTTCTTCTTTTGATATAAGCCACCCCGATATAGATATATACGCGAACGTTTATTGTATGCATTAAATCAATATTGCGCTCATGCTTTTCTTTATTGAATCTCTTCTTTATGTACTTCTCCTCAGTGGTAAAAGCTAACTCGTTGAAATTTTCATCATAAACAGAGACTGTTAAGTTCTAGTATCAGTAAAAATCTCATCACGTTTTTCCTTAGCCAGAGCTGAATTATTCCAAAAAAGCTTGTTAGCGCAGCCCCTTTGGACTGAAATGTGGAACTCACATATCTTCTTTACTTTCACTGTGCTGATGGCAAAATATATAATGTTTAAATTCTCTCCAAGACGATAATTCTTTTCTAATGATAATTGATTGTCAGCAAATGTTGTCTGTTTTTATTTACACTACTTGACAAAAGTATCCCCCCCCTCGGATCTCAGTCCATACAAGAGCTGAGCGACTGAAAATTGGTGTGCAGGCAGCCCATGAAGAATGTAGGTCAG